TTTTCAATTTCTTCCTTCAATTGCATAACTTGCTCAGAATCATTGTTGCACGATTCGTTCAGCTGAGATTCTAATTCCTGAATTTTCTTAATTTGCTCTGCTTCTTTTGTTCTCAATCCGGCGAGCTCACGTTTGAGGCTTGTTGCTTGGGACCTCTCGTCAGCCTTTTTAAGTTTTACCTCCAAATTTTCGATTACGCGTTTTTGCGCGGATTCGGCCTCCCTTGCAATTGCCAAGTCGGTTCTTAGTTTGACAAGATCTTCGTCAACTTTTCCGCCTTTCTCAGAAAGTCTATCTTCCAAGACGGCAATTCTTTCTCTTTGCGCGATTTCAACGGTACGCAAATGCTCTAACTGTTCTTGAAGATGGGATTCTTCTTGGTCCGAACCCAATCTTGCTTTAAGAGCTCGGATTCGTTCCAATGCGACAGCTTCCCTGTCTCTGACATCCTTGAGTTCGTTTCGCAGAGCCTCCAATTCATCCTGAAGAACCTTGTTAACGTCTTCGCCACTCTCCAATTTATGCAGGCGAGCTTTGAGCTTGTTCATTTCGATCTCTACTTCTTCTTCTTGCTTGTGAACTTCCATGAGTTTTGCTCTGAAAGCTAGTGCCTCAGCCTCCTTTTCTCGTAGCCTTTGCTGAAGCATGGCTTTGTCCGCGAGATCCCGCTTGAGTATAACAATCAATTCGTGCTTGTGATGTATATCCAACTTGAGGGCTTCAAGTTGTTCTCGAAGCGCAACAACCGTTTCATGTTCGCCCTTCAGATCTTCGGCCATCTCGGATTTGGTTGAAAGCTCTTGTTGTAGGATGCCTAATTTTTCCTCCAGTGTTTCAACGGTCTTGTAGGTAGAATCGACGAGATCGATTTCGGCACTTTGATAGGTAAGAGCTTTTTGTGAATCTTTCGCCTTAATTAACTGATCTTCCAATGATTTGATTTTCTCTTCCAATTCCTCGATTTTCTTGTCAACATTATTGATGGTAGTCTCCTCAGAGATGGTGCTCGACCCGTTTTTTTCCTCCAGGGCAAGAGCATAAGCTTCTCTCGTTTCTTGTAGCTCGTCTTCCAGCTCTCGAATGGCATTTTGTTGTTCGATCGACGGGAACAACAGGGCTGCAATTGTGTGACTCTTGACTTCAATTTCATTTTGAAGTTTTTCAACTTGTTGTCTCAGTTCCATCAATTCGTTTTTGCTGGCAACATCTGATTCTTCCTTAAGCCGGGAGGTCACTTCATTAGCATGAGCTTCTTGTGCACTTATGAGTTTCTCTTCTAATTCTTTGAGTTGGATTTGTAATTCTTCAAGGCTTTCTTTCTTCGTGCTTTCTCGATCTTGGCCATTGATGATATCATGTATTTCGGATTTGAGTAAATCGATGTCCGATTCAATCTTCATAATCTCCTCACTCTTGTCCTCCCTATCATATAGGGCAATGATGTCTAAATTCTTTTTCTGTTCTTCCCTCAGCTGTTCCACCTCTTCCCTGAGTCGATTGACGATGTCGTACTGATCTATTTCGCTGGTGGTGGCAGAATATCCGGATTCCGCGTATGAATAGTCGGAGGTCATCACCGACATAACTTCAAGTTGAGCCAAAGCGTCTCGTCGTTTTATCTCTTCACGGAGTTCGCTCACGATCTCGAGGGTTTCAAGGTGGTTAACTTCTAGACGAGCAAATTCTTTTTTAACAGCTTTCAGCCCTTTTTCTTTATCGGAATGTAACAGCTCCAATTGCTTGAGTTCGATTTGGAGTTTTTGAACCATGGCCATACTTGAAAGTTCACGTTTCTCGGCACCTTGAATCTCATCAGAGAGAGACTTTGCCTTTCGGTGGGTTCCATGAACGTGAGCTGACAACGACTCGCTATCTTGAACAAAGTTAGCAGTTACCGGAGACATTGGAACCGAATCGCCGACCAGCGTCACTCCAAGTCGTGGAAGTTTGGTCTCCTGAAGTCGCGAATTAAGCTCTTCAATTTCTTCGAGACATGATTGATATTTGCTTTTAACATCCACGAACTCGGCGACAGTCTTTTCGTGAGCTTTCTGAAGTTCCGAGAGTTTTGATTCAAGATTCATGATCACTGAAAAATCGCCACTTGACATTGGCGTGTTCGAACTCGGGGGGGGTGGAAAATGGGGTATCAATGTCGGAGGAGGAAGAGGAGGAAGAGGAGGAAGATCTTTGATGTTGACGAGGAAACTTGTTCACGTCCACTCTGAGTTTCTTCATTTGAGCAATCTCGGTGACAAGTTCGTCGATTTTCTTCTCGAGTTGAGCAATTCTACGATCTCTTTCCTCAATTTCGGACATCAACAGATTTTGATCTTGTTCATCAAGGGATTTCTCCTTCTTATACTTCGATTCCAATTTCATGTATGCATCCTCCCTTTCGTGTAACGCCTTCTCCAAATTCTGGGTTGTCTCATTCATTATGGAAACCTTGCTCTCGCTTTTCGCTAGCCTCAATTCAAGTTTCTGGATAACACCCTCACTCTTCTCGCCGTTAAGTCTGAGCTGTGCAATCTTGCTTCTGAGGTCATTTATCATTTCCTGATCTTTTTTTTGTTCCCCGGCGTGCGCATCGAGTTTAGTCTCGAGATCTTTGATGTAATTTTCCGAAATCTCCTCACGCTCCGTGAGTTTTGAGACCATATTTTTAAGGTCGGCTATTATGTCTTGATTTTTAGTGTTGAGTTCTTCTGCTTCTGAAAGTTTCGACTCTTGTTCACGCATCATTTGCTCCGAGTTTGCCCAAGAGGCTCGGGCAATCTTGAGGTTGTTCTCTAATTCAGCGATCGATTTTTCATACTCGGCGATCAAGGGCCCAATTGTTTCCTGGAAAGACTCGGAGGCGTGCGTTAAGAACGCGTTCTCTTCCTCGTCGATTTTGCTTAAATGATTGGTTGTTGATAGAAGATCCATGTTATCATGATACATCGTCAATTCGGTAGAAGTTTTTGCATATTTCTCCGTGAGTTCCGAATAGGAACGTTGGAGTTCCACCAACTTTTCTTCGAGCATAGTAATGTCCTTATCTTTACTCGAAGTTTGGATATCTAGACCTGTGGTGATTATGCTTAATGACGTGGATGATCGGCGACTGTCCTTGGGTTCGCTTGGAGTGTTTCTTCCTGATCCGGACGCTTGCCTCAAGGCCTTGACCTCAGCCCTGAGCTTCAAAACCAAATTTTGCAAATGTTCAAGATCATGCCAGCCAGCTTCTTCCTGGGTGACGGTTGCATTGTTCTTGATGTTACGAGCACGATTTGCATACTTGAGTGTATTAACGGTTTCGCAGACGTTATATTCTGCCGGTGAAACACACGCGATCATTAAAGTTTGTGCATTGCCACCGAGAGAATCCTGCAGCAACCGGGTAAGTTTGGAGTCTCGGTATGGAACATGCGTTGTGGATTTTGTTTTTGTTGGATCGCCTAAGGCGGATATCACGTTCCCCAAGGCCAAAAGCCCCGAATTTATCGAAATTCCCTCTTTCACGCGCTCCCCGATTGCTGAAGTGCGTTTGAGCTACATTTTTTTTTTTTTTTTTTTTTTTTTGTAGACAAAGGTGACGCAATGATTAGCCCAACCCCTCTATTATGAAAAGAAGATGACGAAGAAAAAAATTTTTACTCTTTCGCTGCCGGCCAAATCCACGAAATGGAACTTGCTCGTCACAGAAACCCAGTCCCCGTCTTCCATACGTTTGCTCATTCTGGATCCCGCTCTCGACGGCGGTGACCCAGTCGTCCTACTCGGTGTCGACGGACGTGCGGATGTGCCCGTTGGACTAACTGGTCCATTTGATACAAATTTTTGTTGTGAAAGCGTAACCGAAAAGATCGCATGTGATCGCGATGATTGCGCATTCATTTCCGTCGCGCCGACTTGACGAAGTAGAGATCCGCGAGTCAAATTGCTAATATAGATAGATAGATAGATTTAGAAGAAAGAATGTGATGTGATATTTTAATGCCTTTGGATAATACATTGTTTTTTTGATGTATAGGAAATGCAGTATTTACCCCATCACTTCTTCAACACTGTTAACTTTAACTTCCCGTAATCCGCTCCAAATAATATTTCCTTTCGAGTCCTCCCTGATCGTAACCTGAGGCCTACTTTCTTCCTCTTTATCAGCTAGAAGATCAATCAAGTCCTCATTATATATTTCCACGAATGAAACTTTCATGGAACACTTTCGATTTTTATACTGGGCCGAATTTATATATGAGAAGAGGGTGGTCATCGAACGCGGAATTATTCCCCTTTCGTCGGGTGGAGAAGATGTATTATCGGATGTGCCCATGGTGTATGTCTTGCCCGAAGACGTTTGACCGTATGCCAATATTGTGACATTGAATCCTGAAGCGCCGGAGAGCGAGAATTCAAAGTAACGAGATGAGAAAACGCCCACGTGATAAAGAAAGTCAGGTGATATTATGATTGAGACAGAACGCGATATTAAATTTGCTCACCTTCCAAGAACTTGTCTACCATATTTTTGACTGAACGATCGTAGATGTCTTTCTGGATAGCTTCAGGACCAAAAACATGGTCAAACGTGTAAGTCTGTTTCTTTTCTGCTTGGACGGTTACTTGGTTTGGTGCGAATGGTGTTGTAGAGAGAATGTTTCGTTGAAATCGTGATGGTAAATTTACCAAATCATCTGCCGTAAGAGGCCTTATCCTGAGAGCTAGATTTCAAACGAATCATTTGCGTGTCTAAATGAATTGTGAATTCAATGGGAACAAAAAAAATAAAAAATAAATCTTTTCACCCGCTTACCAACTTTCACTGTTGTGCTTTCCGAGGTGGAATTGTTTGCCATTTTTGTTATAATTTAGGGAGAGAGAAAGAAAGAATTTTTTTTTTTTTTGTTGTTGTTGATTGATGCCGGAGATGTCGAAACGATGAATTAGCTAGATACAAGAGTAAGCTTTTTAAATTGAAGGAGTGTTGGTTGTTTTGACAAATGAAAATAAGTTTTAAGGGAACCGGCCAGCGTAAATTTCGAGCTTGCAAATAGATAGACGTTTCCAAAAAAGTATAAAAAGTTTGTAGGAGCCTCCTCAAAATAAAAGGTTAAGAAGAGATGTCGTTACTTTGAATTTTATTTGCAGTTGTTACTTGCAAAGTGTGTTGCTTTTACTTTCTTGTTGGTATGACAAGAATCGTCGTTGAGCGAATGAATTTGGGTAAGAAAAAAAAAAAAAAAAAAAGGAGAGAGAGGGAATAATGGAGGATGTTAAAGTTAGATTAATGTGTAAGAGGGAGGGAGATGAAATAAAGAAGGACCTCGATGACTTTTCGAAGTTTATCTAATTCAAGATTCATTGCAGGTTTATTGTTGCACACTTGAAAAAATAGAATAATGTTATATATTTTCGCATGGTAATTTGTTACCTGTTTATTTGTATATTGTAACCGGTAATATATTAAATGCATACTTCAAGTCTTTTTGTGGAATTCCTCTTTTAGTCAACTGTTCACTAATGCAACGATGAATATATTGGTGTTTACTGACGTACCAATCAGTCGATAACAAAGAACGACGACGAATCAGATTTCGTCCGAACTTGAAAATTTAATTTAGTATCACAAAAGAAGTTTCACATTTTTATAATCCGACTATTCGATCCTAAGAAAGATTTGAACACGAAAACATCATGATGCATCGCGAATGCAGGTAGAGCACGTTAATGTTGCATGATAATGTAATAGCTAAACTTTTACGTGCGCCATGTTTTCTAAAAAAAAAATAAAGCACAAAAAAAAAAAGCGTATATTTTTAGAACGAAGATCGGGATTATGGTCGAGGCCCAATTAAAGCTCATCGATTCGACGTAATAAATTCCTATAGTTCCGCCGACTTGAAAAAGATTATCATATCAATCCCTTGGTTTGTAAATATTTAATGGCATGTGGCATTCATTATCTTGATCGATTCACGAAATTACAAATTTACATTATTTAAATTAAAATTTAAGAAGGTCGTATGATTTTATTGATTTGTTTATTATTCGATATAAAATCATTTGAAATCCATTTAATTCAATGCAGTTTTTTTGTAATAAACGATCAACCAAGTTTTACCATCCTTCATTATCACATGCTTGGAGTTAAAGTATTTTTTTTTTTTGTTTTTGAATTCGGTCGAGCAAGGTCACTTGGGCAACTGTAACAAACAATCAGTAGATGAGGTTTACAAAATAGGTTTGGTTTTTTCCGCCCGCATTCTTACCGGTAAACATTGGTCTAGACAAAAATAATATGTACCACTCTCAGATTTTAAGCATTATCATTCAGATTTAGGAACTTTTAGACATTCACCGAATCAAATATGTACATTATTTATTCGATAGTCCTCGCAAATACATGCATTGATGCATCTCAAATTCTTTATGGCATGTTCAATACGGGATATCCTGAAAAGTGAACCAATGGGTCGATTCGATTGCCTTTCCGACCAGGTCAGCGATCGACGACACCTGGCGGAAGATCGTAACGGATATGCACATTGGAAACTGGACGTTGTTACACCACGAACAGAATAATACAAGCTTCACTATATTTTGACTTTTATATTCGAGAAAGATTTGGTATAGTTTATCCTGTAGAACACACCGAACATACCTTCCGAACTATCTAGAAAACCCAAGATCGGAGTTTATGAATTGCTGTTTTCTTCATTAGGATTAATGATTTGCTGAATTCTTCATCTGCGAATATGTCAACCAATCAGGTAACCTTAAATGGATAGATGCTAAATTTTAGTAGTGTATAGAAAAAAAATTTTTTCCTGCCATTGAAATCTAATTCGTACTTTTAATATCGCATGTAATTTGTGGCGTCACGTGGATGAAATATACTATATTTATATGGAAATGGATAAAAAGGTAAGATGGGCGCGAAATTTGGATCATGTGGAACTCGGGTTGCGAAACCTGCGCGAACTTGGTTACGCGAAACTTTGATTATGCAGATTTAGATTGAGCGAAACTTGAGTTACGCGATTTGGTAAAACTCGGGTTAAGGGAAACCTGGATTGGGGTTTATGTGTGAAATCTGAAACTTGAATTGTACAAAATTTGAGCTGCGCAAAACTTTGAGTTCGCGATTGGTCAGGTAAGAGCGGACAACATATGGCTTAGTGATCACTGGCGAATGTTTTGATAAATATTTGTGTTTGATACGATTATTTTCAAAAATATCTCGAACAATTCAACATGATATTATTATAAACGTAAATTTAATAGGCGGTACCTCATTTTTCTATTAAGATATACGGCTTATGTTGACTCGGCCTCACCCCTATACAATATACCGTGTATTGCGGATATTGTTCAAATATTTTTTCATCAGTTTTCAGTTTAATTGATTGTTGATAAAACAAATCATTTTAAAATGAAAATATTTAATTTTTAAAATTTATAGAAAAGTATTGGTTAACAAACACATGACGAGATTAAAGTCTGATGTAAATTAATTCTTCTAAAATCAAATCAAATGAATATTTTTAATTTTTATATATCATAATGAGCATTTATTAAATTTCAAATTATTCCGAAATATCTATTTAAAAAAATTTCTTAATTATTATTATTATTTTGCGAAATTTTATATATTATTAGTTGGAGTTTTAACTCTTAAATCTATTGAAATTCGATAACTAAAAAATTCAAGTAATAATTTATTTATATTTACAAATATATTGATTTTCTCAAATAATTTATCTATTATGGTAATATTTTCTTTTCTTTTTAACTTAATTTAATCTTTAATCTCAAACTAATAAGTTTCTTGTATATTAGAAAAATTTTTAATATTAAGTATTCTGAAAATATTACACATTGAAAAATTTATGAAAAATCTTTCATAGTACTTTACAATATTGTATAAATCTATATTATTAAAAAAAAAAAAAGATTAATAAAGTACTTTAAAGTACTCTATTACAAAAATTTGTAATATACTTCAAATAATATAGCTAGTGCTTTCAATTTTTACAAAAACTTTTTTTTAAAAAATAATGGAATATCTCAAATTAATTATAAAAAAGTTATTATATAAAAATATTTTTTTTTCTATTAAAAGAATTGACTTTTATATATTAAGTTATTTTCAATAAAAACCTGTAGATTTATAGTACAATAATAATGTTTTCAAGTCACAATCACAAGATCCAGAGTTTAATACTACATGGGAGCCATGTGAAAATTTATAAAATAAAAAAATTATTTATAATGCAAATAAAAGAAACCTATAAAAACACTTATTATCTTTATTCTAATTATATATAAACAATATTTTTTATTTCAGTTCTAAGCAAATTTTTCATTTTAGCAAAAGTACAAACATATAATTAAACACAAAACTATTTTAAAAAAAGTATAAATCAATAACTGCACTATGTTAATTAAGAATCATAGCAAGTCAAGCCATAACAAATTAAGTTAAAAAGAATTCAAAAGAAATAATGATCTAAAAATAAAGATATCTAGATTTTCTAGATAAGTAGTAATAAAAATTTAATTCAACTGAATATTTTCAAGCAATAAACCATTTATTAAATCCTTTAAAAATAAAGTTCTAAAAATATTTATAATATAAAATAATATATATATAATTATTATAACAAAAATTTGTATCAAAATTAAACTTTTATTTTACAAAAGTTATTTTCAATAATATATTTTATATATATTAATATTTTTAATTAAAATAGTGAATATTTTTAAATATAGATTTTTGAAATACTATAAATATTTTTAAATACAATTGTTTTTATTTTTAAAACTTTTTTTAAACCAATTATATATAATTTATTTAAACTTTAAATATTTTTTTAGTTATCGAA